GCTGGATTCTTATACACTTAGCATAATGTTTTCAAGGTTCAACCATGTCATAGGATGAATCAATGCTTCACTCCTCTCTTGGCTGAATCATACAAATAGACCACATTTTATTTATCCACTCATTCACTGATGGACATACGGGTTTTTTCCACTTTTTGACTATTACAGAGAATGCTGCTATGAACTCTGGTGTACAAGTTTTTGTGTGGGCATATTTTTGTTTCTCTTGGGTTTATATCTAGCAGTGGAGTTGCTGGGTAATTGATATGGAACTCTATGTTTGACTTTGGAAGAACTGTCAGACTGTTTTCTAAAGTGGCTACACCATTTTACATTCCCACCAGCAGTATCTGATGGTTCTAGTTTCTCCACATCCTCACCCACACTTGCCATTATATCTTTTTTATTGTAACCAATCTCGTAGGTATGTTAAGATATTTATTTTTAAGGTTTATGGAACTTTTAATAGGTCAGTTGAATTTGGTATGTTATGTGGTTCTTGACATCAAGAACCATGATGTGGTTCTTGACATCATGACCCTATTTCTCTTAAAATAGTGATTTTTCTGAATATAGATCATCATTTTATAAAATCTTTAACTAAGGAGCATCCCATTTTCATGTGTTTCATTCTTTGACTAACCAGAGAACAGGCATCTAATATACAAAAAAGAAACAAAAAGAAAAATTATGATATTTCTTCCTTATTCACCAGTAAAATATTCTAATTCCAGCGAAATTATAGGTATAAAATAGTTTCTGTGCCATTTTTCACTGAGGCCTCCACCATCAATGCTGCTCACAGCTGAAGTCCCTGATTTCCCCACCTGCAAGCCACATTTGGACAGAAACCTCAGGCTCAGTCAGAAGTACTTAAGCAGCTCGGGACAAGGTTCCCCTTCTCCACACACTGACAAATAGAACACTACCTCTCTGCCCTCTGCCTGTGGTGCCTGTCCATTCAGTTCTGTAACATCCTTGCAAGTTAGATAAGGTATCATAGCCCTCAGAGTTGGAGAAACTGAGCACAATTCGGGCGGTTGGAACTCACTATCCTGTTTTGTAGTGTAGAGTTCACAAACCTTTGCTCTTTTCTTTTCCTGAATTCCTCTGCCCTTTATTTTCAGCATCCTAAAAACAAAAGTTTTAAGTATGGTTGTCCTCATCAGACATTTTGGTTTACTGTTTCTATCTTTTTCAGAAACTGGACCTTTTTGAGAAGGAGAAATAAGAGACTTCACATAGATGGACTTTAGGATTGATTGCAATGGGAAGAATCAATATCCCTTAGCCAAAGATAAGTCTCAGTATTTGGTATCTTTTTTTTTTTTTTTAACATTAGAGTTAAATTTCAAAGGCCTGTTGGAAGCAACCTTTGGGCAGACATTCTGGTAGTCTCTGTGATAAATTCTTATTTGGCTCTCTATGGTTCAGTATATCCAACAAGGAATAACCTTGGCCTCGTTGGGAACTGGTAAATACTAAAAATTTGTGTTTATCTATATTTGAGACCCTCTAAGGCCCCCAATTCTGTCTTCCTCTTTTTAAGTTATAAGAATGAGGTGCTATTGGTATCTATCTTTATTGTGGTATCCTAACATCTACTTATTAATTATTATTCTATTTATGCTTATCTCTGAAGATGGAAGAGGAGGATTAAAGCAATAATTCTCAATAAGTACTCTTTCAACGATTAATTCATTTATTCAACAGACTTTATTTAATGCCTGCTATAGACCGTGCACCCTGCTAGGTGCTTGGGAAACAAAGATAAGACAGGGTCCATGCTTATAAGGGGTGGAGTGCAGTGGGACAAACAGATACATAACTGGATAATTATAATTGTGAGCACAGTAATTAACACACAGAATATTATAGAATCACAGAAGGGAGGCACTTCATCTACCCCAGAAAGGATAAAAGGCAGGCTTTAAGAAGGACATAAAACTATACTAATGAAGATCTATAATTCATTTGGCTAATTTGGCATGGGAGAGAGTGTTCAGGCTTTCTGAATTGGACAACTCTGTAATTTGGGATAAAACACTCAATAACTCTAAAGTAAAATATATGCCAGATTTGTGGCTAATGATTCATTTTGAAAAAGGAAAGAGTCTAATATCATAAATAAGTAAACATCAAATTTGCAGGAGTAGAGCTAGAAGTTGCTGGGATTTTTTAAAAGTTTCTTTCCTTTTTATGTCCCTCCCTGCCTATATGAGTGGAAAAACAAATACGAGAAACGTCGTGCCCGTAAGGAAGGTTTTTATATTTTTCTCTCTGACATGGTCTCTGTTACATTTGGGAATAAATAAAGGCACCATCACTAGACTGGATGAAAATTAGTGCTGTTTGAGGCCAGAATGTATTTATTTTTCTTTGTTTTATTTTATTTTATTTATTTTTTCAATTTTCGTTTATTCACTTCTGGAGAGAGGGAAAGGGAGAAAAAAACATTGTTGTCTGAGAGAAACATCTACTGGTTGCCCCTCGCACACTCCCTACTGGGGACCTGGCCCACACCCCAAGCATGTGCCCTGACTGGGAATCAAACCAGCAACCTTTCAATTTGCAGCCCGGCGTTCAACCTACTGAGCCACACCAGCCGCGGCTGAGGCCAGAATTTAAAAAGGAAAAAGCTTAATTAGTTCTGCAACTATTGCTGTCATGTAAAAGTATGAGGAAAAATTCAATGTTAACAGCATTTGAGGTTTTCTAAGTCATGGATTTGAAGGGATCTGAATAACAATTTTAAATCTTTGAAAAAATAGTTTAGTCTTTCTAACAACATTATGATCATTTCATGGAGAAGAGAATTGGGAGAATTGAAGAACAAGAGGTTAAAAAAGCCTTGCCTAAGATCATACAGCTGGTCAGTAGCAGAGCTGGGGTTTGAACCCAGGTCTGTTTAAGTTCAGTGTTTACTACTCATCATACCCTCCGGCTGAAATAAACATCTGTGTGGGTCCATTGCTGTCCTGTTGTTACCCTGGCAGGAAGAAGTAAGCTATTGTAGACAATTAGTGAAGTGTGTGCTCGGGCCACTGTAAATTCAATATACAATATATGAAAATAACAATATAAAAGTTAACTTTAGATGTTTACTTTTTACACTGAGTGTGCCTTATCCTATTTTATATATTCTTCAATATTATACACTTTTTCATCTGCATGTGTTGTACATTATCTGTTCATCAAGACTATAATCCCTGATTCTAATCATGTATTTTAAAAAAGAAATAAACATTAAAATAATAGGTCAGGAAAGGTTAATTAAGCTGATTCTCAAACACCTTAAGAAATTAGAGCAAATACATTAGGTTAGAAATGCTTAGAGTGGATATAAAAATCAAAAATCATAATAAAGTGATTAACTTTGCTGTATTAAAGTGATTTTCAACCCATGTGCAGCAAGAATTTTTAAAACATGCAATACCTGACTATTTAGTCAGGGCACTGACCTCTTTTCCCATAGATTGTCAAATTTTAAAAAAATGACAACAGCCGACACAACAGAGCTGTCTGGTGTGAATGAATCATAATTCTACCAATTTTTTTGCCTGATCAGCAAAAAATATATTTTTTGGTGTGTCCCAGAATTTTAGTAATTAGTTTATGCGTGCTGTGAGATAAAAAAGGTTGAAAATCGCTGATCTATTATATCAGGGGGTGGATTTTAAAATGTATAATCATAGCTTTAGAGTGTGAAAAGGGGGAAGTCTGTTATAACTGAATAGGGGTGTGGTCTGCTCAGGCTAAGGAGGACTAGATAATGGTTTCATAAAGCACTGATATTTGTGTATGGTCTTCAGAACTGGCCGATATAGCTATCACATTTTCTTTACGAACATAACATAATAAATGCATCTATAACTACCAGCCAGCTTGGTAAACTTGAGAGAGCACAGCCTGTGGATTTGGGTGTACGAACTCTGTGCCTCCATCTAGACCTCTAGGTAACCATATCTCTACAGCTCCTGTAATCCTAGAGCAAGTACATGGAAGCACTAAGTGGTGTGATGGGAGGAAGAGATAGCATCACAAGGATTCGTTTGATTATAACAGTAATCCACACCAAGTCAAATAAAATAGCCAAACAGTTAAAAAAGTGGTCCCTAATGAATTTGCTAATTCTAGCAAGCCCTCGCAAACATTTCCTGCCGGAGTGCCCCATATCAAAATGAAATAGCTGTGCTTTAATTACATGGAATAATTATTCGATTTCCAGGAAGTTAAGACAGTGCTTTGTATTTAAATAAAAAGTTCTAGACACGCTGTGAAACTCGATCAAACCAACAAAAATGGTGAAACCAAATGCCTGTGCTGTGAGTCAAGATTTCAGCGGCTCAGTAAGCCTGACTTTATGGTTTACGAGCCCAGAAAAAGGGGCATTTTAAAACCAGCCAACCGGATCATGTCACTTTCTTATAGGAAAAGCCTTGCTTTTGCAAAGATCTAGTGTAATGTAGCCACGTGGTGTTGCGGGGCCCCAATCTTGCTGCCTTCACCCCTGTGCACTGGCAGGAGCCCCACTTTTCAGGGGACGCTGCCTCAGACTGTCGCCCTCACTTTTGAAGGTCTGCTAAAATTCTGGGGTGTCTTATCTCAACCGCTTTACGAGTAAGTTTGGGGTTGGGAGGGGGGGGAGGCCTGTGGGTGTCTGTTTTGCCTGAGGAGTTGGAGACTCTGGTGGAGAAGTCAGGTCTGCGCCGCTCCGGCGGCCGCTCCGGCTTGGGGCCCGCTCGGGTTAGACTCATGCACACACACCATAGAGCTCGCTTTCCCGTAGCAGCTGCTGCCTCTGCCTCTGCCTCTCCCGCCTCAGCCTCTTTGCCCGGCTTCCACACACATTCAGATTTGCGCGCTGTTTCAATCCTTGATGACGTGTCCCTGGAGACAGCGAATAGCCGACGGGCTCTGGTCAGGACAATGGGAAGAAGCGGACCAATGAGCGGGCTCGGTGAGTTGGCGGTAGCCAATAGGAGGCGCGCTGGCTGGAGAGTAATGTTACAGAGCGGAGAGAGTGAGGAGGCTGCGTCTGGCTCCCGCTCTCACAGCCATTGCAGTACATTGAGCTCCATAGAGACAGCGCCGGGGCAAGTGCGAGCCGGACGGGCACTGGGCGACTCTGTGCTCACTGAGGGTGAGTCCCGGGCAGCGCCGCGGTGGGGAGGGCGCCTCCGGCAGCGCCCGACACGCGCGGCGGCGGGATCCGGCGGCCGGGAGCGGCGGGTCGGGATCCACACAAAGGCGGATGAGGGGGGACGGGGGGGAACTGCGCACGGAGCGAGCCTGGGGCGCCGAGCCCTGCCCCGCGCCGGACCCCAGCCCCGGTCACCAAGCGCCGCAGCCCCGCGCCGCCCACCCGCCGGCGTCCGCGCTGACTGGCGCAAAAATTTTTTTTTTTATTAAAAACATTTTTAACGTGTTTTCAGCCCCCGGGCCGCGCGTTCGGACGGCCGCCGTGCGCGGGGGACGGTGGGGCCACGGCGGGAGGGCGGGCGGCGGCGCCTCCTTGGGCTGCATTGGCCGCCGCAGAGCCGGGCGCGGGCGGCGCGGTGGGCCCGGCGGCCTGCGCCCGGGCGCGGCGGCGGGGGGAGCGGCGCCCTGCGCCCGCTGGAACATGGCTGACTCGCCCGGCGCTGCCGGCGGGGAGAAAACAAGGCGGCGGGCGGGCGGGGGAGCGGGACGCGCAGTTCCGAGGCAACTTTTTTTCCTCGCCCCGCTTCCAGCCCCGTGTTTCCCGTGCGGGGGTGGCGGGCGCGCGGGCCGCGGAGGGAGACGGGCGCGGCGGCGGCTGCGGGCGGGAGCGGGCGGGGGAGGGGAGGGTCCGGCCGCGCGCCCCCCGCCCCTCCCCCCGGCCGCAATGGCCGAGCGTGCGCCAGAGCGCGCGGCGCACCCCGCCCGCGCTCTCACTCACACACTCACACACATACACACACAAAGGGAAGGAGCCATGTTCGCGCTCGCCCTCGCGGCGGCGCAGGCGGGGAAGACGCGCAGCGGCCATTCCGTGCGCGCTGGGCCGGCGGCCGCGGGCGGAGCCAGCCCCCATTTCGAGCGGGGCTTCTCCCTCAGCGAGCCCGACAAAATGGGGGCGGCGGGCGCACGTGGCGGCCCCGGTCCCAAGCCTGCCCTCCCCGCGCTGCCCGCTGCCCCCGGACTCCTGGGGCCAAGTGGCGAGAAGGTGCGTGGAGTCCCCGACGCTGGGAACCCGCCCCGCTCGGCGCCCCAACTTTCACGGATAAAAAAAAAAAAACACTCCGATGGGGGGGGGCAACCCGAGCTGCAAGCAGGAGTGGCTTTTGTCCCTCATCCTTGTTTACGCGGAGAAACTTCAGACCGGACGTGTTGAGTCAGAACTAAAATACATCTCGCGGCCAAACCGATAGGCTAGAAGCTGCCTTGCGGTGCGGTGGCAGCGGCACGGAGAACGCTGCCACCCCAGCCTGGGTCTGAGCGTGGCAACTTTCTCGCCGCCCTTCTCCCAGCAAAGTTTGTGCCAAGCGAGTATTTTTCAAGTAATCACTAAACGTTAGTGGTTTAGGCCCATTATTGGGAAGGGGCCTACTTACTACTAGGGATTTTACCTACTTATTACTTGGGTCGTTCAAATTTACAAGTCTGCAGCATTAGTTTTCTGACAGCTGATTTTGTTGATTTAAAATGGTTTTGAACAAACACATAAGAAAAATTTGAAGAACCTCTTAGGTATTTCAAACAGACTACACAAGTATACCATTGTGCCTACACTTTTTTGAGAGCACAGTGAAGGACAGTTTTCTGCTTGGCATTGCTGCTAATAGAAATTTGCTATTACTACCATTTCTTGGTTTGGTATTATGGGAGGTTGATGTCACTCCTGTGTTAAGTAGCCAGTACATTCGTTTTTTTACCCTCTCCAAGAAGTTAAAGTGCTCTTACATGTCATAGTTTCATTGTTAACATCAAACATTTTATTTTATGTTTTTTAGAAAAGTAATAAAACATGGGCAAAGGAGATCCTAAGAAGCCGAGAGGCAAAATGTCATCATATGCCTTCTTTGTGCAAACTTGCCGGGAGGAGCACAAGAAGAAGCACCCAGATGCTTCAGTCAACTTCTCAGAGTTTTCTAAGAAGTGCTCAGAGAGGTGGAAGGTAAGAGGGCTTAAAACTTACCAAAAGAGTTCCACTCCTAATTAGGATTTTTTAAAGCCTCTGCACCTTTTGCGTAACGTGGGGTGGTAATGCTAGAACAGGCTATTCCATAACAGGGGACACTGGTTTTATTCATTTTAATATTTCTGAGGGCAGTTTATTGGAGATTTTATTTCACTTAATGTTTACAAATAATTCTTTTGTAGACCATGTCTGCTAAAGAGAAAGGAAAATTTGAAGACATGGCAAAGGCGGACAAGGCCCGTTATGAAAGAGAAATGAAAACTTATATTCCTCCTAAAGGGGAAACAAAAAAGAAGTTCAAGGATCCCAATGCACCCAAGAGGCCTCCGTAAGTATCTTGCCATTTTTCTTTCAAAGAGTGTTTTGCAGTAGAATCAGAAATTCAGAAGCCACCTTATGGGTTTGGAGTGTATAATCAAAGTTTCTTAGCTAATAGTGGATCACATTGGTATATTTAAGTATTATAAGTAAAATTCCTGTGGGGTGAGTTTATCCAGAACATTTGAATTTGACATTTGCTTCCTTGACCCATTATATTTCTAAATATAATTTTGAGTCTCTTCTTGAGAAATATTTGTCCAACATACTTAGAGTAATTTGTAGAATGTCTTGTTGGAGAATTATAAAACAATTTTGGCTATGAAGGATAATTAGCATATTATGGTATTTACATCTTATCCATTGCATGCTGGGAATTATAGGCAATACACTCTTGATAAAATTCTAAAATGAAATTCTTCTTTGTAGTTCGGCCTTTTTCTTGTTTTGTTCTGAGTATCGCCCAAAAATCAAAGGAGAGCATCCCGGCCTATCCATTGGTGATGTTGCAAAGAAGCTGGGAGAGATGTGGAATAACACTGCTGCAGATGACAAGCAGCCTTATGAAAAGAAGGCTGCTAAGCTGAAGGAGAAATACGAAAAGGTAAGAAGTACGGATTTGCTTGGTGTGATGATGATGAAAGGGTATGCCAGGTGTTAGGTATTTGTATCAATACCACATCTTAATATTTCATTTTCTTAGGGATTTTTAGAAGTTTGATACATGATACAGTTTTTTAATATTAACTACAGTCAGTATGTCAGTGGCTATAGTCTTAAGTCCTTTTCCATTTTTCAAATTACATAGAATATTAAGTTTGGTACTTTTTTTACTCTATGTAATTTGACTTGGGCAGAGGCCATACTTTAAGGCTGGGTTTGTTAATTCCCCAATATCTATAAATCTATAAAAATATTGGTAGTTAATTTGAGTCAAATGATTAGTTATTTTAAATGGTCAGACAGTGTAAAATTAGGCTGGAGAAAAGAATATAGATTGTGTTCTTCATAAACATACCTTGAAATATTTATGTTCTCTCCCCTAGATAAACCCAAAAACTCAATTTTAAGTTAAAAAGTTAATGTCTGTATAGTAAACTAATATGAAGAAAAATGTATAATCTATACTATAAGATTTTAAGTTAAATTTTAGCTTACTTAGTTACTATTTTTTAAGACAAACTTTCTTACTATGGATTAGTGTCTGACAATATAAACCTGTAGAATGCTTTTTTGCATTCAGAAGGTGGCAGTGTCTACCCTTTAATCAAAGTCTCTACCTTCTAGTTAAAATAAACGAGATAGGTTGTGGTGCATAATTTCATGTAAGTGAAGCATAACAGCAAATGTTAGACCATGGCATTCAATGAGCTATGGATTATTAACAATCATTTCAATATTTTTAATGCATTTTTCAAAGTCCTGCTTAATTGTGGAGTTGACATGAACCTTAAGATAAATGTATTTTTATATAACTGGGCTTGGTTAAGTTTTGGCATGTTGACTTATTTTTCCCCTTGCTTAACTGTATTGTCTTTCCTACCAATTTCTCCTGCCCTTATTTTGGAAGGATATTGCTGCATACCGAGCTAAAGGAAAGCCTGATGCTGCAAAAAAGGGAGTTGTCAAAGCTGAAAAAAGCAAGAAAAAGAAGGAGGAGGAGGAAGATGAAGAGGATGAGGAGGATGAGGAGGAGGAAGAGGATGAAGAAGATGAAGATGAAGAAGAAGATGATGATGATGAATAAGTTGGTTCTAGCGCAGTTTTTTTTTCTTGTCTATAAAGCATTTAACCCCCCTGTACACAACTCACTCCTTTTAAAGAAAAAAAATTGAAATGTAAGGCTGTGTAAGATTTGTTTTTAAACTGTACAGTGTCTTTTTTTGTATAGTTAACACACTACCGAATGTGTCTTTAGATAGCCCTGTCCTGGTGGTATTTTCAATAGCCACTAACCTTGCCTGGTACAGTATGGGGGTTGTAAATTGGCATGGAAGTTTAAAGCAGGTTCTTGTTGGTGCACAGCACAAATTAGTTATATATGGGGATGGTAGTTTTTTCATCTTAAGTTGTCTCTGATGCAGCTTATACAAAATAATTGTTGTTCTGTTAACTGAATACCACTCTGTAATTGCAAAAAAAAAGTTGCAGCTGTTTTGTTGACATTCTGAATGCTTCTAAGTAAATACAATTTTTTTTATTAGTATTGTTGTCCTTTTCATAGGTCTGAAATTTTTCTTCTTGAGGGGAAGCTAGTGTTGCTTTTGCCCATTTTGGATCATGGTTTATTACAGTGTTTATCTTTTCATATAATTAGCTGATAAAAAGCTTTTGTCTACACACCCTGCATACTCATGATGAGGGTAATGAGCTAAATTGAGACAGTTTTCATCCATAAGTGAAATTCTAAAATTGTGATCAGTTGATAATCAAGTTTCACATAGCCCAGTTACATTTACAAAGTGAAAAGTAACCACTCTACTCACAGCATGGGATTAGAATCAAACATTTTGAAAATCTGTCCTTGAAAGAGTAGTAGAAAAGTATGTTCTAATCTTTACATGAGGACTACGTTTTTAAACTCCCATTACCATGTAATGGCATTATATTTGCAGTTCCTACATTAAAGAAGACCTGAGAATGTATCCCCAAAAGCGTGCGTTTAAAATACAAGACTGCCATGTGAAGTTTTTTGTTGACATTAATTCTGGCAAAACCTCGGGGGAAAAAAATATGGATGGCTTAGGAAACAAGATTCCATTAAAGGTATTTTTAATTAATCGGGCCAAAAATTGTATGCTACATTTAAAATACAGGTCTATTTTTCAAATTATTTGCCCCTTTATAAGCTAAATAGATAATGAAGGAAGAGGACACTTAACCTTTGTATCACAGTATGAATTTATTTGAACTTTATTTTTCTTTATAAAACTCAAAACTCATTAGGGTAATATGTTTATCCACTCAGCCATTTAGGAAACGATTTGGCAGTTTTTGTGGTTTTTGACATTCTTAACAGTGCCAGTGTTTTAAAATAGCATTCTTGTAATTTTACACGCTTTTGTGACAGAGTGCTGTTTTGTTATCTAATTTGACGTGGACCTTTCCATTTGCATTTGTTTTTGTAATTTCAGGAGGAATACTGAACATCTGAGTCCTGGATGATACTAATAAACTAATAATTGCAGAGGTTTTAAATATTAGTTACATGGCTTTCACTTAAGATTTTGTTATGGACATATTTAAATCTAGTTTTTGATAATAACTTATCAACACCATTTAAGGGCTGGCTGGCTTTTAAAGTACTCTGCTTATAAATAGGTTAATGGGCTGATAAAAAGGTTTTTGTCAAATATTCCAAGTGGTCTCAGTAGATACTAAATATAAATGAAAAACTTTTAGAATGTTGGGTTAAACAAGATAGTTTTTTTAAAGCAAGGCACATATTAGGTAAAAAGATAGCGATTGCAAATATAAAAGCCAAATGAGAACCTCAACAGAAATGCTGAAATTGTGTCCAAATTTATCAAATTTTTAGTCAAAAGGAACAAGTCAGTATCATCCCTTGATATATATGGAAGTTTTTGCTATGGTTATAGAACCACATTTAAAATAACAGTTGCTAGCAATGATGATCCCTTTATAAGTGAATTCAAGGAAACTAGCAGGTTAATAATGGAAACTACCTTTTTATGTTGAGAATCTGAACAAGTCTGGACTAACTGGCTTCAGATCTTAACTGGGAAAAATGGATGAAAACACTCAATCTGAAAGCCATTCTGCTCTGTTTCTACAGACCCCTGGAATGTAGGGGGCAATTTAGATAATTTAGTGTAAAACTACAGATGATGTTTTTTAAAGTTACTACATAGGAACTTACTGTTTAGAAATAGTTTCAGCACTATGGTGGGTAAAGATAAAGGTATTCTTAGCATCAAGGAAAGATTAAAAGGTGTAAGTTTAGTAGTTGCATTCTTAAAAATTGGTATACTAATCAAAACTTAACATCCAGTTGCCTAATTTTCCTGTACAAAGGTTAAGAGCTATGGCTGGGTAGTTGTGATCAAGGTGTTGGTATTTTCCCTATCTTGCGTGTGTGGGGTGTGTGTGTGTGTGAAATCTCACCAAGGTAAAAATTAAATGATGTTAAGTGTGTGATAAGAGGAGCCATTTGACATACTTCACTGCCCAGGAAATTGGAAGTACTGCTCAGATATCAGTGTAGTATCTACCTATACTGAAAACCACAATCGAGATGGGGATGGGAGGGGGTTTTTTTGAATGAAAATCATGGTCAGCTGCTTTGGCATGCAATCTGATAAAAGCTCATATCTAAGCTTGGTACACCACACCTGAAAGGTCCTGAAGTAGCTCTTTTTCAGTATCAGCCAGGCGCCTTTTCCCTATGGTAGTATTGCTGCATATTTGCATAAATTCAAATATATTTTGGGTCTTAGAATTAACTATTGCTTGATTATGAACCACTGGTTAGTAAGTTATTAGGCTGTTTTATTCAATAGTGATTGTGGTAAGCTATTTAAAATGTTTTCATATTTGTGCTTTGCCCTTTTCAGATGGCTCTGAATTTTTTTAAAAACTGCATGAAAGCCAGAAAACAATTTGTATATCTATGCAACATAAGATGCAAGCTGATTTTTTTGTCCTCTTCTAAGCAAAGATGTGAACAGCAGTGCTAACACTTGACATAACTTTGGAAATTCCCTGGATCTGAGCCAAGTTGCTCCCTGGAGTAATAAGACAAAGTATAGCTTGAAGACTGCTGCAATTTAATGATACACCACAGCACAAATACCACACAACACAGAATGACACAAGCAGAACAAGCCACACACTCCAAAATATTCAACACCCGTTTTCCATTGGGCTTCAATCTGAAATGTATCTGCCAGGAAGAATATGATCGCTTATACCTTTAGGCATGTCCATTGATTGGAATCTTCTATATAATTGAATTTATTGGTCGCCCACTAAAAGAAAGTAGCAATACAAGATCTGGGATAATGAGGGATTTGATAGACCTGTAGGTGACCACATGAAGAATGGTAGGTGAAGGTTGATGTGGAGACTGAAAGCCTTGTAAAGTACAAAGTATTTTTCATTTTCACATATAAGTGACATTCCATAGTATGAAGCCCATAAATGAATCATTCCTTTACTAATGGTCATTCACATTTCCTACTTTTTTTCTATTTCTAACAATACTGCAGTGAACTGTGTACGTGTCTCTTAGGCACATGTAGGTTTTGTTTTTTTTGGTGGTTTTTTTGTGTTTTTTTTTAAGATTTTATTTCTCTTTAGAGGGGAAGGGAGGGAGAGAAACATCAATGTACAGTTGCCTCTTGTGCATCCCCTGCTGGGAACTGGCCTGCAACCCAGGCATGTGCCCTGACTGGAAATTGAACTGTGGTTATTGGGTTCGCAGGCCTACGCTCAATCCACTGAGCTACACCAGCCAGGGCAGGCACATGTAGGTCTTTAGATACCTCAGAATAGAATTGCTGAGTCAAAAGATTTGTGCATTAACAACTTGGCAGACCGACAAATTGGCCCCCCAAAAGGGTATACTTTAAAACATTTTAGCAATGATTTTTTAAATGATAAATCAAGATTGTTACTGGCTATTCTTTGGCTCCATAAAATAACCATTTTTAAAAGATTCAAAATTAAAATACTGAAATATTGTCATTCGATACCCAAACACAAGAAGACAGAAACAACTGAAAGACCTTGTGTTGGCTGTTAAACTACTGAACAAATTATTTCTCCAAAAAGTTACTACAGTAACTAAATAAATAATTTGTGTGAGAATGAGGAATTTCCCATTTGACATCCTCCAACCTAAACAGGAGCATCAGTAGTTTTACCTGGGGAGGGCTTTTCCTAGCAGAGACTGTCAATCTACAAACAACAGATTTGGAAAAGCAGTAAGTTTTGGCTATAGATTGTACTCAAGGAGTGTGGACAAGATTCTGAGCACTAGGAGATGACGGGTTACTTGGGAAAGTGAATGGACACTGAAGACCTGCCTTAAATGGGGTAAAAGGATGCCTGCTTCACCTCCCAGGGTTGGTAATTTAGGGTACAGGACTTATGCCAATGCATTTATAAACCCTTAAAGTGGAATTAAACTTTGTTCCTTAGAGTTACATAGACTAGTTGCAGGCTTCACCATATTTTTGTTCATTGGGTTTTAATTAGAGACCATCTTATAAAATGTTCTGAACATAACCAATTAAGAATAAATAGTCCTAAAATATAAGTATCAGGTGAGAGAGTACTCCTACAGAAAAACAGGAAGCTCAGTCACCACATCTTCAGATACCAGTGTGATGCCCAGGTGTGAAGAGAGATCTTGGAGGATATTCGGCGAGGACATGGCAGTCCCCTCTCAGATCTGAATTCCAGGGAACTCAGGTCTTGCTGTGCATCTGGAGTTGACCTGCCTGAGATTTGGGTATAGTGACTGGGTGAGGCACACTCAGGCTCTGAAGCAGGGAGTCTGACCCAGAGATTCTTTCACAAGAGGAACAAGAGTTGCCCTTAGTTTGGGGGCCAGTGCAGGCTCATAGAACATTAGAAGCAAAGGGCTTTTGCCAGTCTAGCCTGTGGTGTTTACAGAGTAGAGGGTAGAGGCCCACAAAGACTCAGAGGTTTGCTCAGACCAAAAGTAGCATCAAAACAATAGAGCAGTGCCAGGCTCACAGCAGGAAAAAAAAAAAGAGTTCTTCTGCTTTAGTTTTATTTTTTATTTTTTGTATTTTATTTTTAAATTGAATTTATCGGGGTGACATTGGTTAATAAAATTACATAGGTTGCAGGGGTACAATTTGATAATACATCATTTGTATATTGTGTGTTCACCATCCCAATCTTTCCTCTTCTTTTAAGGATGGTAACAAGGGTCTGGAACGCTTCCTCTCAGTCCCTCACTTTCATGCCTGGGTTCTCATACCACAACTACAGTTGTTAAAATGCAAGCAGGGCAACACTCTGCCATCACTGTGATTCCCAGCTTTCCTGCTCCTATTTACTTAGACTCAAGACACTTCCAGACAAAAAAAACCAAATTACTGCTTATCATATAGGACATTATAAGCTACCCAATTCTAAAGAGCTAAAAAGCACCAGAATTGAGCTCCTTGGAGTCTTTACATTAGCAGTGTGAACCTCCAGAAGTAGAAG